CGCCTGTAATCCCAGCTCCCAGCACTTTGGGAGGCTGAGGTGGGCGGATCACCTGAGGTCAGGAGTTCAAAACCAGTCTGGCCAACATGGAGACATCTTGTCTCTACAAAAATACAAAAATTAGCCAGGCATAATGGCGAGTGCCTGAAATCCCAGCTATTCTAGAGGGTGAGGCGGCAGAATCGCTTGAACCCGGGAGGTGGAGGTTGCAGTGAGCTGAGATCGCACCATTGCATGACACAGCAAGACTCTGTCTCAAAAAAAAAAAGAAAGAAAGAAAGAAAGAAAATATAGCACTGTACATGGCAGGTCAGTGATTGTATGATAGAAACAATTTCCAAGTCCATCTTCTGGGTAGTCCTAAAGGAAACTATGAGGAAGATTATATGATCTTGCATTACTTAACTTCTCTGAGAAGGAAAATAAGAGTAATAATAAGTATAGAGATTTTTACATATTTCTTTCACTGCTGTGTCCTTAGTGCCTGTAAGAATGCCTGGCACAGGCCAGGTGCGGTGGCTCATGTCTGTAATCCCAACACTTTGGGAGGCCAAAGTTGGCGAATCACAAGGTCAGGAGTTTCAGACTAGCCTGACCAACATGGCAAAACCCCGTCTCTACTAAAAATGCCAAAATTAGCTGGGCGTGGTAGTGCGCACCTGTATAGTTCCAGCTACTCAAGAGGCTGAGGCAGGAGAATTCCTGAACCTGGGAAGCAGAGGTTGCAGTGAGCCGAGGTCCCACCATTGCACTCCAGCCTGGGTGACAGTGTGAGACTCCACCCCCTCCCCCCAAAAAAAGAAAAAGAATGCCTGGCACAGAGTAGACACTCAAATATCTGTTGAATATATAAAAGATGTTCACAAGGCCTGGTGCGGTGGCTCATACCTGTAATCCCAGCACTTTGGGAGGCTGAGGCAGGCAGATCATGAGGTCAGGAGATAGAGACCCTCCTACCTAACACAGTGAAACCCCGTTTCTACTGAAAATACAAAAAATTAGCTGGGCGTGGTGGCGGGCACCTGCAGTCCCAGCTCCGCGGGAGGCTGAGGTGGAAGAATGGCATGAACCCGAGAGGTGGAGCTTGCAGTGAGCCGAGATCGTGCCACTGCACTCCAGCCTGGGCAACAGTGAGACTACACCTCAAAAAAAAAAAAAAAAAAAAATTTCACCATCCAGAACATCCCCTTCTTGTTACCAGGCACGTGGAAGGTGTCTGAGCAAAATGATATCTTTTGCTAATCTTAATAGGTTTCTAAAAGTCCCTGGAGGCTTTACCAGCACCTTGAAATTATCCCACTATTCATTCATTCCATTTATTCATTTACTTACTTATTAGTCATGTTTATGGAATCTCTACTATGTGCCAGATACTAGCCTAGTACTTGCAGATTTTGCAACAAACTTTTATAGAGTTTATATTCTAGTTGGAACAGGGGTGGAGGTGGGGTGTACAGAGAGGACACACGAACCATGTTTCTCATCCTTGTCCTTTCACCATGTTAACCATCAGTAAAACTATAAGCCCCTGGTTGGGCGCAGTTGTTCACACCTGTAATCCCAGCACTTTAGGAGGCCAAGCGGGGCAGATCACCTGAGCCTGGGAGTTCAAGACCAGCCTGACCAACATGGAGAAACCCCGTCTCTACTAAAAATACAAAATTAGCTGGGTGTGATGGCTCATGTCTGTAATCCCAGCTACTCAGGAGGCTAAGACAGGAGAATTGCTTGAACCCAGGAGGCAGAGGTTGCAGTGAGCTGAGATCATGCCATTGCACTCCAGCCTGCGCAACAAGAGCGAAACTCTGTCTCAAAAAAAAAAAAAAAATTGTAAGCCCTTCTATCATCTGTACTCTCCTATATTCTCCTTTTTATATTTCTTTGTGCTCTCTCCCCTTGACTCAGTACTTTAACAAAGTACTGGCCGGGCGCGGTGGCTCAAGCCTGTAATCCCAGCACTTTGGGAGGCCGAGACGGGCGGATCACGAGGTCAGGAGATCAAGACCATCCTGGCTAACACGGTGAAACCCCGTCTCTACTGAAAAGTACAAAAAACTAGCCGGGCGAGGTGGCGGGCGCCTGTAGTCCCAGCTACTCCGGAGGCTGAGGCAGGAGAATGGCTTAAACCCGGGAGGCGGAGCTTGCGGTGAGCAGAGATCCGGCCACTGCACTCCAGCCTGGGTGACAGAGCCAGACTCCGTCTCAAAAAAAAAAAAAACAAAAAAAAAAACAAAGTACTAAGACTCTTACTTCTCCCTTGCAAGAAAAAATCTCTAATTACTTTATTTGGCCAAGTTACAAACTCAAAATCAGAGTCAGCTCTGAACTCCTGATTAAAGCATCATATGGAGATGACTATGTAAATGGTAATGTGCAAGGACAAATTCTAGGAGATACCATGGTAAAGAGATTTTTCATTGAATAAGTGGTTTCATTTCTTTTTGGGAAAAGGATTTAAGGCTTTAGATGTAAAGAAAAGAATTTTACTTCCTGCAGACATTCATTCATTAAATTTTTAAGAATTAATGAGATTCTATTTCATCAGTAGCACAACATAACATCCTATACAGACACAAATACATGTAAAGTATACTCAATTCTCTAGCAGATGTCACTTCTGCTAAGGAGACTAGACAGAAAAATACTGTGCTGTGAAGCAACACTATAAACAGACATGCTGTTTCTATCTCGTCCACCCACACATACCCCTCTCCCAATTAGGTAATTTTCACCTCTCTTGTCTCCCTGACCACACTGGATTATAGCTATAACTATAATCAACCATGCTGCTTTTTTTTTTTTGAGATAGGGTCTTGCTTAGTAGCCCAGGCTGGAATGCAATGGCAGGATCATAGTAGGTGTGAACCATGCACTTGGCCAATTATGCTCTTGAATTCACCCTAGGCCAGGCGTGGTAGCTCACACCTGTAATCCCAGCAAGCACTTTGGGGGGCTGAGGCAGGCAGATCACTGGAGGTCAAGTGTTCAAGACCAGCCTGGTCAACATGGGGAAACCCCATCTCTACTAAAAATACAAAAATTAGCCGGGCACAGTGGCGTGTGCCTGTAATCCCCACTACTGGGGAGGCTGAAGCAGGAGAATTGCTTGAGCCCAAGAGGCAGAGGCTTCAGTGGGCTGAGATCGCGACACCATGCTCCAGCCTGAGCGACAGAGTGAGACTCTGTCTCAAAAAAAAAAAAAAAAAAAAAAAATTCACCCCAGATTCCTCTGTCCTGTGACTTTCTGTTATTCAACCCAGGATTTTCTTTCCTCTTGATCTCAGGTTGCAGAGTTGCTACCTATTTAATGTTCCACAATCTTGAGCAGGTTGCAACTTTTTGTTTTTGTAGACGGACTCTGGCTGTGTCACCTATGCTGGAGTGCAGTGGTGCCACCTCGGCTCACTGCACCCTCTACCTCCTGGGTTCAAGCAATTCTCCAAGCAGGTTGCAATTTAATGATTAGGAGCAATCTGCATATAGGGCCTGGGAAGTGAGTGAGGAAATTTTACTCCTGTTGGAAGACAGACTTGTGAAATAATGGGTATTTAATCCCAGTCCCTGAGACTGAAAAGCCTCCAGAAAAGCAAGTAACACTATGCCAAGAAGACAGTATAAATTCAGCCGCGCACGGTGGCTCATGCCCATAATCCCAGCACTTCAGGAGGCCAAGGTGGGCGGATCACCTGAGGTCGGGAGTTCGAGACCAGCCTGACTAACCTGGAGAAACCCCATCTCTACTAAAAATACAAAATTAGCCAGGCAAGGTGGTGCATACCTGTAATCCCCACTACTCAGGAGGCTGAGGCAGGAGAATCGCTTGAACCCGGGAGGCGGAGGTTGCAGTGAAGCGAGATCGTGCCATTGCACTCCAGCCTGGGCAACAAGAGTGAAACTCCATCTCAAAAAAAGAAACAAGAAAAAAGTCTAAATTCACACCCTTGGGTCATTTTAACAAATGCAGCAAACATGGGAGAACACTGAGAGAAAACTGTGCTAATAATTAATTTCTGGCCAGACAGAATGGCCAGGAATGCTCACAAATATAGTGACAGTAATGGTGTCATTCTGAGGCCTTCGCCTCAAGGAAGGGCTTGAAAGGAGATAAAGTCTAAGGGCAGTAGCTGGCATTTCAAATTCTAGATGCCTGAGACAGACAGGCACCGAGAGAGCTCCACGCTTCTCTCAAAGTAAACATATAATTCATAGAGGGTTAACAAAATAATAATGTGAAATTTTTCCCCTTTATATCTCTAGGGGTGGCTCACGTCTGCAACCCAGCACTTTGGGAGGCCGAGGTGGGAGGACCGCTTGAGGTCAGGAGTCCGAGACCAACCTGGGCAACATGGCGAAACCCTGTCTCTACAAAAAATTAGCTGGGTGTGGTGGCACAGGCCTGTAGTCCCAGCTGCTCGAGAGGTTGAGGTGAGAGGACCGCTTGAGCCTGGGAGTTGGAGGTTGCAGTGAGTCGTAATGGTCGCACTGCACTCCAGCTTGGGCTACAGCAACGCTGTCTCAAAACAGAAAAAAAAAAAAAAAAAAAAAAAAAAGGCTGCGCGCGGTGGGTCACACTTGTAATTCAAGCACTTTGGGAGGCCGAGGTGGGCGTTTTACGAGATCAAGAGATCCAGACTATTCTGGCCAACATGCTGAAACCCTGTCTCTACTAAAAATACAAAAATTAGCTGGGCATGGTGGTGCGTGACTCTAGTCGCAGCTACTCCGGAGGCTGAGGCAGGAAAATTGCTTGAACCCGGGAGGCGGAAGGTGCAGTGAGCCGAGATCACACCACTGCACTCCAGCCTGGGCAACACAGCGAGACTCCGTCTCAAAAAGAAAAGAAAAAAGAAAAAAAGGCGCAAAGGCTCCGTTCAGTCCTTAGATCCCACGATACAAACTTTCTCTTCCCGACCCAGCCCGGTGTGGCGGGAACATTCTGGAAGTGACGGCAATCTCTGCGGCAGTCTTCTGTCGGAAGTGACGTCGCTATCCCAGAATCCTTAGAGAAGGAGAAGCGCGTTCTTGCGTCCTAGTCTCAGTACAGCGTGGAGGGCTTAGGGAACATGTTCTAATTCTCTGCGGGACGACTAGCGCGTTTGTGCTTTGCCCGCCGCGGCTTAGGGGACTTTTTGGGGCCGCGTAGTCGGTGTTTTTGAACTGAGTCCACAGCTCGTGGTGGGCCGTGCGGCGCCCTGACCCGGCCTCACCATGTTGGTGCTGTTTGAAACGTCTGTGGGCTACGCCATCTTTAAGGTAGGTGGGAGAGCGAGCCGTTAAAGGGGGAAGGCGAGTGCTGGACAGACGAGGAGAGGGAAAGACTTAAGCACAGAACTACTCAGGGTAGCGTGGGTGCCTGTTATGGCCCGGGCTCTGGGAGGAGGGAGAAGGCCTTTACATCTGAGAGCCCTGTTACGGGTAACACGTGGCCCCGCCGTTTGGGGAGACCCGTTCTGCGTTAAAGGATTTTATTTCCTCCGTTGAAGAGGTGGGCAGGAGGCGTGTTAGAATTTAACAGTATAGTTATAGGGAATTCGGATTTTCTTCTAGATGTTTTGAGGAATGATCGAAAGGTTTTTTTTGTTTTGTTTTGTTTTGTTTTTTGAGATGGAGTTTCGCTCTTGCTGCCCATGCTGGAGTGCAGTGGCGCAATCTTGGCTCACAACAACCTCCGTCTCGCAGGTTCAGGCCATTCTCCTGCTTTAACCTCCCGAGTAGCTGGGATTACAGGCATCCACCACCATGCCTGGCTAGTTGCTTTGTTTGTTTGTTTGTTTGTCTTTTAGTAGAGACAGGGTTTCACCATGTTGGCAAGGCTGGTCTTGAACTCCTGACCTCAAGTGATCCAACTGCCTCGGCCTCCAAAGTGCTGGGATTACAGGCGTGAGCCACCGTGCTCTGCCGATCGAAAGGATTTAAGCAAAGGAATGACCTGCTAATTTGTCTTAATACGGTTACTCTGCTATGTGGAGATTAGACTCGAGGAGGTAAGAAAGGCAGCAAGAATACTTTTGCATTCATTTAGACAAGATGAAATTGCCTGGTATGGAGATAAACAAATATCGATAGAAATTTTGAAGGTAGAACAGAAAGGATTGGCCGATAGATTGAATTTGGAGTTTTGGTTTAAATAAGTTGTTAAGAAAGTTTCTTGCGGGGGAAGGACGAAAGATTTCCGGTTTGGGCTGTGCAAAGCTTGCAATGTTTATTAGACCTGATAATGCAGTTGTGTAGATCGGGCAGTTCAGTATTTCAAATTCGAAGCTTAGGGGAAACGATCTGGGCTGGTGATGTCAATTTGAGATTTGGTTGTTTTCATGGGGAGAGTTTGACAAGTTCGTCAGCACTGAAATGGTTGAACGGTAAGACATTCGTATCGCAAGATGCTGTTGAGATGTCAGTAAGAATGAGTGAGATTGAGTGCCTTTTGTGCCGTGCACTCTTCTTAGCTCTGCGAATATAGCAATGAAAAATAAAGTTTTATGTATATTCTACGTATATATGTGTTGGTAGAAAGCAAAAAACGCTAGATAAAAATAAATGCAATACAATTTTAGCTGTGAACCAAAAAAAACCATTTGTGGTGTGGATGCAGAAGGTCTAGATGGGTGCGGAGTTCTCCATGTTTCACTTCTGACATTTGAAAATACGCAGTTTGCATTTGATACGTCAAATACTTATTTTTAAGAAAACAAATAAAATCGTTAAAACCGAAAAGGCAGTTTTGCTTGTTTTTACCTTAATTGGAGTTATCTGTAATTGCAGTGTTAGTAGTTTTAAGGATTTTAAGTTCCTTAGTCCCCTTTAGAGCTACGAAACATGTCAATTTTACTTTTCTCCAGCTTTTTGGAATCTTATCTAAAATCTCATGTAGAGTTCTGCATAGCTCCAAATTCTCTTAGCCAATGTGGTCTGTCAGTGTCTGTCGACGAATTTCACCGTTAATTGATACAATATGCTGTCCTGAACCGGATGTTAAGAGGAGCAACTGTGCACAGTGCACTGGTTGTCTCCCATGGTAGGAAGGAATTGGCTTATCAATGGTCTGCCTAAAAATTTTTTTTTTTTTTTTTTTTTTTTTTTTTTTTTTTTAAGAGCCAGAGTCTCCCTATGTTGCCTAGGCTGGTCCCAAATTCCTGGCCTCAAGGTGCTGGGATTACAGGCATGAGGTACAGTGTTCTGCCCACTTCCGTATTTAGAGCGATTCGAAAGGAAAACACTTCAAAACTTTATTGTTCATTAACAGGGTTATATATATGTATATATATTAATATAAAGACATTGTGTAAAGCAACTTTTGTGATTAATTCTAGGATATTATAAAAATTCAACCTGTGGCCGAGTGCAGTGGCTCACACCTGTAATCCCAGCTACTCAGAAGGCTGAGGCAGGAGAATCAGTTGAACCTGGCAGGCAGAGGTTGCAGTGAGCTGAGGTTGCACCACTGCACTGCAGCCTGGGCGACAAGGCAAGACTCCATCTCAAAAAAAAAAAAAAAAATTACACCTGTGTCCTTGTGTCATGTGGCACACAGCATAAGATTTTAGTTGGCCGGGCGCGGTGGCTCAAGCCTGTAATCCCAGCACTTTGGGAGGCCGAGACGGGCGGATCACGAGGTCAGGAGATCGAGACCATCCTGACTAACACGGTGAAACCCCGTCTCTACTAAAAAATACAAAAAACTAGCCGGGCGAGGTGGCAGGCGCCTGTAGTCCCAGCTACTTGGGAGGCTGAGGCAGGAGAATGGTGTGAACCCGGGAGGCGGAGCTTACAGTGAGCTGAGATCTGGCCACTGCACTCCAGCCTGGGCGACAGAGCGAGACTCCGTCTCAAAAAAAAAAAAAAAAAAAGATTTTAGTCTTGCTCATACCAGACTTTCTTCAGCTGCTCCTCATGTGATAGCCATTAGTACGTATAACTATTTCACATGAGATATAACTGATAGGACTGAGGAAGTGAATTTTAACTTATTTGAATTTTAATGGTTATATTGTACAGTGTAGCTGTGTAGCATAGCATTTTGTGTCACTTCGTTTTCTCAAGGTTTGGAGAAAGATTTTTGATTTATATACCAAATGTCTATAAAACCTAGGCACTGAGCAATATATTTTTTCTAACTTTATTAGGAGTACTTTACATACTGTATAACTCGCCTGTAGGTTTTAGTTGCAGTCCAGTTTTATAGTACACTTTGTTGCAAAAAGTTATGCCCATTTTCAAGTTAGTCCTGCTCTAGACAACCACTGATCAGCTTTCTTTGCATAATTTTTTCTAGAAGTTTCATGTAAATGGAGTAGTATTTTAGTCTTTTGTGTTTGGCTTTTTTCACTTAGCGTAGTGCTTCTGAAGCTAACCCAAGAGCTTTTTCACTCTTGTTGCGTGTATGGATTTGTTTCTTTTTGAGCCGTGCACATTTTAAACTAATTATCAGTTTTATCCTGTATTCAAACAAGTTTCATAAAACATTACTTGCTCATATTGTCTGGGGAAGTAAAAGTTAGCATCACGTATTTACAAATATAGAGGTTGGGTGCAGTGGCTCATGCCTGTCACCCTAACACTTTGGGAGGTGAGGCAAGAGGATTGTTTGAGCCCAGGAGTTGCAGACCAGCCTGGGCAACATGGCGGGAAAAAAATTAGCTGGGCACAGTGGTGCCAGCTACTGCAGGAGGCTGAGGTGGGAGGGAGATCATGGCTGCAGTGAGCCGTGATTGGGCCTCTGCACTTTAGCCTGGGCAATAGAGTGAGACCTCATCTCAAAAAAAAAAAGGAAACAAAACGAAAACCACACAAAGTCTCAAGCAATCAATTAAAAGTGAAAATTAGAAGGCTGTGCATGGTGGCTCATACGTGTAATCCCAATACTTTGGAAGGCTGAGATGGGCAGATCATGAGATCAGGAGTTTGAGACCAGCCTGGCCAACATAGAGAAACCCCGTCTCTTCTAAAAATAGAAAAATTAGCCAGGCATGGTGGCACGCATCTGTAGTCCCTGCTGAGGCGGGAGAATCGCTTGAACCAGGGAGGTGGAGGTTGCGGTGAGAAGACTGCGCCTCTGCACTCCAGCCTGGGTGACAGGGCGAGACACTGTCTCAAAAAAAAAAAAAGTGATTAAAATTATTAATTCCATACAGCCTCACCAATATTCTGTGTCAGCTGCCAAAGTATTGGATAGGATGGGATTAATCCTAAAATGCACAACCCCCATATTTAACATCCCTAAAATTGGGATGTCTTAAAATTGATGACAGGTCAATTGGGAGTGTAAAAGAATAGCATAAGCCGGGTGCGGTGGCTCATGCCTGTAATCCCAGCACTTTGGGAGGCTGAGGCAGGAAGATTGCCAGACCTCAGGAGTTGGAGACCAGCCTGGGCAACAGGGTGAAACCCTGTCTCTACTCAAATACAAAATAAATAAATAAATAAATTAGCTAGGCATAGCAGCATGTGCCTGTAATCCCAGCTACTTGGGAGTCTGAGGCAGGAGTATTGCTTGAACCAGGGAAGTGGAGGTTGTAGTGAGCCGAGATCATGCCACTGTGCTCCAGCCTAGCCAACAGAGCAAGACTCTGTCTCAAAAGAAAGAGGCCGGGCACGGTGGCTCAAGCCTGTAATCCCAGCACTTTGGGAGGCCGAGACGGGCGGATCACGAGGTCAGGAGATCGAGACCATCCTGGCTAACACAGTGAAACCCCGTCTCTACTAAAATACAAAAAAAATTAGCCGGGCGAGGTGGCGGGTGCCTGTACTCCCAGCTACTCGGGAGGCTGAGGCAGGAGAATGGCGTGAACTTGGGAGGCGGGGCTTGCAGTGAGCTGAGATCCGGCCACTGCACTCCAGCCTGGGCAACAGAGCCAGACTCTGTCTCCAAAAAAAAAAAAAAAAAAAAAAATAGCATATTAAATTTGGTGAAATATAGTATGCACAGATATTATGCATATATTTTTATTTAAAAACCAGCTGGGTCAGGCACCATGGTTCCTGTCTGTACTCCCAGCACTTTGAAAAACCAAGGCAAGAGGATCACTTGAGTCTAGAAGTTAGAGATCAGCCTGGGCAATAAAGCAAGCCCGTCTCTACAAAAATATTTTAAAAATAGCTAGGTGTGGCAGTGTGCGCCTTTAGTCCTAGCTACTTGGGAGGCCGAGGCAGAAGAATCGCTTGAGGCCAGGAGTTTGAGGCTGCAGTGACATAGGACCACACCACTACACTGCAGCCTGGACAACAAAGTGAGACCCCGTCTCTGGAAAAACAACACAGCTAGTAAATATAAAACTATACCTTGCTAATAAGCATTATTTATCAAGTCCATAATATAGTACATCTATCCCGGGAGAATGGCGGGAACCCGGGGGGCGGAGCTTGCAGTGAGCTGAGATCCAGCCACTGCACTCCAGCCTGGGTGACAGAGCGAGACTCCGTCTCAAAAAAAAAAAAAAAAAAAAAAAATTTTTTTGAAATTGTTCAGAGTATGCAGCTAACCGTAACTGAAGTTCACTATTTTTAAGAGGATATGTATCAACTAGGGGATATGACTCATGAGTAAAATTCACATTTTTTCTAGCTGAAAAGCAAGTATATTTGAAGATAACATTTGGGTAACAAAATTGCCATATTTAAAAGATACTGTCGGCCTGGTGCGGTGGCTCATGCCTGTAATCCTAGCACTTTGGGAGGCCAAGGCGGGTGGATCACGAGGTCAGGAGATCGAGACCATCCTGGCTAACACGGTGAAACCCCGTCTCTACTAAAAATACAAAAAATTAGCCAGGCGTGGTGGCGGGCGCCTGTAGTCCCAGCTACTTGGGAGGCTGAGGCAGGAGAATGACGTGAACCCGGGAGGCAGAGCTTGCAGTGAGCTGAGATCGTGCCACTGCACTCCAGCATGGGCGACAGAGGGAGACTCTGTCTCAATAAATAAATAAATAAAATAAAAGATACCATCACATTCTTAAACTGAAGTTAAAATAACAAAGGAGATGTAATAAAATCAGGGCAATTCATGAGCACACAAAGGTTTTCAAAGACTATGTTATGACAGCCAAAACCATTACTATGACAAAACCACTGTGTTCCCAACTGTGCAACAACATCTTGAAGAAAACGTTGCTAATAAAGACAATCTAAATAAGAAACTCAGAGATATTGCTACATTTTCTGTTTTACATTTGTCTCAAAATTTTTTTATTTGTCTCAAATTTTTAATCATTTCAGCCAGGGTAATGATAAATATTTGTATACAAAAATCCATTTTAAGTTTTATCATTTTAAGTTAAGATAGAATAATTTCCATTTCTAAGTAGAAATAGTATGCAACTATTACCATCGCAATCTTTAGCATTGTTATTACAATAATAGTAGCTTTAAAACAAGTCTTTATATTTTATAGATACAAACTGAAATATTAACAGGTAAAATTAAATGTCTGGGTCTTGCTTCAGAACAATATGAGGGGGCTGGGTGTGGTGGCTCATGCCTGTAATCCCAGCTCTTTGGGAAGCCGAGGTAGGTGGATCGTCTGATGTTGGTAACTCAAGACCAGCCTGGCCAACTTGGTGAAACATAGTCTCTACTAAAAATACAAAAACTAGTTGGGTGTTGTGGTGCACGCCTGTAACCCCAGCTATTCGGGAGGCTGAGGCAGGAGAATCGCTTGATCCCAGGAGGCGGGGTTGCAGTGACCCAAGATTGCACCACTACACTCCAGTCTGGGTGACAGAGCTAGATCCCATCTCAAAAAAAAAACAACGTTTAATGTGATTCCTAAAAATATGCATGAACATGCGTTGCACAGACATTCAAAGTCTTGGAGAATATATACCTGAATGTTGATGAGTATTTTGTTGATTACCCTACATTTAAAAAAATTTCACACATCTAGATGTGTCTCACAATTGGTGATAGTTTTAGAGAAATCCATAATACTTTCATTTAGGATGATCATAGCAGTAAATTATGAATATCTATTGAAAGTAGACAATAAAAGGTTTTTTTTGTTTGTTTGAGTTGGAGTTTTTTGCTCTTGTTGTCCAGGCTGGAGTGCAGTCACACAATCTCGGCTCACTGCAACCTCCGCCTCTGGGTTCAAGCAGTTCCCCTCCCTCAGCCTCCCGAGTAGCTGGGATTACAGGCATGTGCCAGCACGCCCAGCTAATTTTATATTTTCTCTTTTTGTAGAGACGGGGTTTCTCCATGTTGATCAGGCTGGTCTCGGACTCCTGACCTCAGGTGATCTGCCTGCCTCCGCCTCCCAAAGTGCTGGGGTTACAGGTGTGAGCCACCGCACCTGGCACAAATAAAAGTTTTTAATTATTACAGTACTTTATTGTAAAGGGATTAATGGCTCTTTTAAAAGAAAGGTTCTCAACCAGGTGCAGTGGTGCACGGCTATAATCCCAGCTACTCAGGAGGGTGAGGCCCTAAAATCTCATGAACCCAGGAGGTGAAGGTTGCAGTGAGCCAGGATTGCTCCACTGCACTCCAGTCGGGGCTACAGAGTGAGATTCCATCTCAAAAAAATAAAAAGAAAGGTAGGTTCCCTACCCTACCCCCCAGGACCTGTAGCTCCAGCTTGAGGCCAGGTAGATCCTAGACTGTGAATAGCCACTGTACTACATCTGACTGGACTAGATCTGAATTCCATTCAGCTGTTAAATGGGCAATTCGAACTAGTAATTTGACCAAAAATATGTACATGGTAAGAAAACTAGTTCATTATCTTAGTGAAAGAAATAGCTTCTACCACCCTCATTTTACATGTAAAATTATACTTGAAAAATGCAGCTGTGTATGCCTAACCTGTACCATTTAAAGAAAACTAAACATTTTATTATAGGTTCTAAATGAGAAGAAACTTCAAGAGGTTGATAGTTTATGGAAAGAATTTGAAACTCCAGAGAAAGCAAACAAAATGTAAGTAATCTTGAAATCAGTAATTTAGCAGTTAACATTTAGAGCTTGTTTTATTTTTTACATTTTTTCCTGATTTATATAATGTTACATTCGTAGTTTTCTGTTTTGAAATCTGTTTCAGGAATAATTTTGGTATGAACCTAATTATTGCAAATATTTTATTTGGAGTATAGGCCATCTCAATTAATTTAGAGGCAGTAGTCCCTCCCTTACAGGGATTATGTTCCAGAAGACCCAGTGGTTACTTTAAACCTCGGATAGTACCAAATGTGATTGCTGTCAGGAACACATTTGTCTTCATGTCTTCTATACACAAATGTAATACCTTTTTTATCTTAACTAAACACTTACCACACACAGGGGTTGTAACCTGCTTTTTGAGGTGCAACAGCAAAACTGGCATGAACTTCTTTTTCCTTCATCACAATTTCATGGAAGATTCATTCTTGGTGTAGATCTTAAATCTTCGTTTTTTGTTTGTTTGTTTGTTTTTTGAGACAGTCTTGCTCTGTCTCCCAGGCTGGAGTGCAGTGGCGCGATCTCTGCTCGCTGCAACCTCTGCCTCCTGGGTTCAAGCTATTCTTCTGCCTCAGCCCCCCAGGTAGTTGGGATTACAGGTGCTCACCACCACGCCCAGCTAATTTTTGTGTTTTTAGTAGAGACAGAGTTTTGCCATGTTGGTCAGGCAGGTCTCAAACTCCTGACCTCAGGTGATCCGCCAGCCTTGGTCTCCCAAAGTGCTGGGATTACAGGCATGAGCCACCGCATCTGGCCTAAATCTTCGTATTTTTATGTGTATTTAAGGAACCACACTAGCATGTTCCTTTACGAGGTAAGAAAACCTTGCTTAAGATGACACTGTTGCTGGGCGTGGCGGCTCACATCTGTAATCCTAGTACTTTGGGAGGCCAAGGTGGGTGGATCATTTGAGGTCAGGAGCTCGAGACCAGCCTGGCCAACATGGTGAAACCCCATCTCTCCTAAAAATACAAAATTAGCCAGGCGTGGTGGCGCATGCCTGTAATCCCAGCTACTCGGAGGAAGCTGAGGCAGGAAAATCCCTTGAGCCTGGGAGGTGGAAGTTGCAGTGAGCCAAAATTGCGCCACTGCACTCCAGTCTGGGCGGCAGAGTGAGACCCTGTCTCAAAAAAAAAAAAAAAAAAAAAAAAAAAAGAAGATACTGCGTTTTAGGCAAATAGAAGACTAGTTTTCCTTCTTAAAGGGTTATATGCTTTGTTGGGTTAATCTGATTCGTTGTTGTCAATGATGTATTCTTGTGGAACTGAATCTAAGTGATCTGACTCAATATTCGTCACTACCACTGAGACAACAATGAATCAACTATATGTTTCTTTCTGCATAAAATACTACCCTGAGGCCGGGCGTGATGGCTCACTCCTGTAATCCCAGCATTTTGGGAGGCCAAGGCAGGCGAATCAGTTGAGCCCAGGAGTTCAGGACCAGCCTGGGCAACATAGGGAACTCTACCAAAAACAAAAATTAACCGGGCGTGGTGGTGCACACTATAGTCCTAGCTACTTGGGAGAGTGAGGCTGGAAGATCCTTTGAGCCCGGGAAGTCAGGGCCGCGGTGAGCTGTGATTGCACCATTGTATTCCAGCCTGGGTGACAGTGAAGGGAGACCCTGTCTCAAAAACATAAAGGGTAGGATGTAACAAGAATGAGGTCTGACAATAAGTTATTTTTTTAATGGCATTTGTACAGGGTAGACAAATGAATATCATGAGATTCTTAAAAGGGACCCACATACTTTTTCTTGAGTCAGTTCTGTGCTGTATAATAAAGTCATCTCTGTACGGCTTTATGCAACAGGAGTTTGTATTAAAGCTTCAACATCTTTACAGTTGGCCAAAGTTTCCTTCAAAGCCTACAACTTTCTTTTAATAATCCAAGCATTTCTGGTCTAACATTTAGAAAAACTAGTAATTTTATGAAGAATATCTAACTTCACACGCTGACATACAATGATAGGCATGTTTTATTGGTGTGTGCTTTGGAAACAGTCAAGCACTTCTTTCCAAGTTATGTGGCTTTTGAATCAATGCACTGTCCCCCACCCCCAATAACATGCTTCTCTCTCTTTTTTTTAATTCTAGAGTAAAGCTAAAACATTTTGAGAAATTTCAGGATACAGCAGAAGCATTAGCAGGTAAAGTAAAAAACTAGAAGGTTGCTTTTTTGAAAAATAAGTCTTAGCCACTTGCTTTTCTTGTTAAAAGGTTGTTTGCTTCAGTTGTCTGTGTTAACCTTATTCAATGTTGTCAATGATGCATTCTTACTGGAACTGAATTTAAGTGATCTGACTCATTCGTCACTACCACTGAGACAACATTGAGTTAGCTTTTTTCACCGTAGGGCTGATTTTCCCCATGTGTGAGGAGAGGTGAGAAGTGGTTAAGTTGATCTCCCTATGGAAACCAGCAACATAATGCTGAAGCACAATTCAGTAAAAGGTGTTCTACAAGGGACCAAGGTAATGTGGTCAAGTACACAGCTCTCTCCTCATTTTAATCCAAGGGTAGAGTTGTAATCTTGAGAGCAGCCAGGATTCACAGTTGAAAAAATAATTTAAAAAGCTCTTCTTGGCTTATAGATTTTTAGTTCAAAAAAAGCATATCAATATTCAGATTTATCCAGAAACTGACAGAGGTGTTATTTTTAAAAGATTTAGAAGAATGGATGACTCATACTCTTCAACTAGATTTCATCATGGGACAACAGAGTGGTAGGGTTTATTTACTATAATTGATTGCGGTAGGTCTTACAGTTTTGTTTTTTTAAGTGTTGGGGAAAACAGGAAGAGCAGATATAAAGCCCAAATCATTGAATTTTCAACTGCCTAAATTCTCTATCACAAATCAGCCAACTCTTTGGCAGTGTAGTTTGAAAATGAAGGACTGTGAGGAAGAATATGGCTTAAAGCTGGGCAAGAATATGACAGATGCAAAAAACTGTGTTAAATAACCACAGGAGAAAGGTATAGTTTTTGTTCAAAAATTGGGAATCCAACTAAACATTCTGGAACATAACAGACCACCCTAAAGAGGGGTAGACTGAAGGAAGACCCATAGGGCCAGTTTCTTTGTTTTATAAACATAGTTCTCCGGCTTCACCAACCCTTCAGTAATTAGAGTTATATACAGCCATAAAGAACAACTGTGGTAATATTAACTGGGAGAATTTTTTAAAAGATAGCCTGTTCATCACAGCTTGTAAGTATGGGTAAAAATTTGGTAAAATTCCAAGCAAGATTGTGTTACCTGTATTCCAACTCTAGGGGGTGTTGTTGACACACACTGGGATATGAACAGTTCTTAGTGGAAATGTAGTGTGCTGCAGTCCTGATCTCAAGGAGTGTCTTCTGAATTCTTTTTTGCATATGATCTTTAATCTGCTTGGGATATTTCTGGCCAGTCCTTATTAAACTGTATTAAATGGACAAGCCAAGCTTTTGCCCAAACAAGCAGGTTTTTACTATTAATACCTAATATATTGAGCACATACTGATTGTCAAATTTATGTTTATGATTTCATAATTGTTATTTAATTCTTGAATCCTTTGAGGAAGATAACCATCATCTCTATGTTACAGATGATAAAACTTGAAATTTGAGCAGTATTTCTAGATTCCTTTACCTAGCTTCTTTGTATTATTTAAAGTAATGTACAATAAGGCTAGGCACAGTGGCTCACGCCTGTAATCCCAGCGCTTTGGGAGGCCGAGACAGGCGGATCACCTGAGGTCAGGAGTTCGAGATCAGCCTGGCCAACATGGTGAAACCTTGTCTCTACTAAAATTACAAAAATTAGCTAGGTGTGGTGGCAGACACCTATAGTCTCAGCTACTCGGGATGCTGAGGCAGGAGAATCACTTGAACCCAGGAGGCGGAGGTAGCAGTGAGCCAAGATTGCGCCACTGCCCTCCAGCCTGGGCAACAGAGCGAGACTGTCTGAAAAATAATGTAAAATTAAGTAATGTACAGTAAATGGACAAAATGCCATACTAGTTGAGAATTTAAAGTCAGACTCCCCCCTCCCCTCCCAGTCTAAGCTCCATGAGGGCAGAGACTGTTCTGTACTGTCAAATTCCTATATAAGGTTTATAAATAAATACTTTGGGGAAAATGAATGAAAATAGTGAATTTTGTCAGGAGTGCTGTCATAGAAACATTTACAGTGCCTTTTCCTATCTGTTTTCACCAGAAAGTTAAATGAACATCAGCTAATTAAGAGAGCAGAATCATTTTTTGAGAATTCACTTCTCACTGCCTGTTACGAAGCAGTTTTGACATGACAGAACTACAACTAAATGACTGTTAATGTCACAGTGTACATTTTAAACCTCATAGCCTTAGAGTTTGATGAGACCAGGCGCAGTGGCTAACGCCTGTAATCCCAACATTTTGAGGGGCTAAGATGGGCAGGAATTTGAGATCAGCCTGGGCAGTATAGCGAGACCCCCTCTCAAATTTTTTTTTTTGGAGACAGAGTCTTGTTCTTTATGTCACCCAGGCTGGAGTGCAGTAGCACGATCTTGGCTTACTGCAGTCTCCACCTCCTAAGATCAAGCAATTCTCCCAGGAGGCTGGGTTCAGCCTCCTAAGTAGCAGGGATTACAGGTGGTGCCACCATATCCAGCTAATTTTTACATTTTTTAGTAGAGACGGGGTTTCACCTGTTGGCCAGGCTGGTCTCGAACTCCTGACCTCAGGTGATCCACCTGCCTTGGCCTCCCAAAGTGCTGGGATTACAAGCACGAGCAAGTGTTCCTGGCCATCAGTTGTTTTTTTTTTAAATAAAGAAATAGGGTCTGGGCCGGGCGCGGTGGCTCACTCCTATAATCCCAGTACTTTGGGAGGCCGAGGCAGGTGGATCACGAGGTCAGGAGATCGAGACCGTCCTGGCTAACAGTGAAACCCCGTCTCTACTAAAAAACAAAAACAAAAACGTAGCCGGGCGTGGTGGTGGGTGCCTGTAGTTCCAGCTACTCGGGAGGCTGAGGCAGAATGGCATGAACCCGGGAGGCGGAGTTTGCAGTGAGCTGAGATCGCACCACTGTACTCCAGCCTGGGCGGCAGAGCGAGACTCCGTCTAAAAAAAAAAAAAGAAAGAAATTGGGTCTGTTGGGGTATGACATTGAAGTTGTATTGGTTTCAGACATTCATATATGCTATTTACACGAAATGGTTTATTTTTATTCTTGATTGTGTTTTCAACTTGCAAGTCTTTTTTTTTTTTGAGACTGATCCTCCGCTGGAGTGCAGTGGCGCAATCCCAGCTCACTGCAATCTCTGCCTCCCGTGTAGCTGGGATTACAGGTGCACGCCACCATGCCCACCTAATTTTTGTATTTTTAGTAGTAGAGACAGGGTTTCACCATGTTGCCTAGGATGGTCTCATCTCTTGACGTCGTGATCTGCTCACCTTAGCCTCCCAAAGTTCTGGGATTATCCATTTGATCATAATTCAAATGGATATACAATCTGGAGGGAAGAGCAAGACCTTACTCATTAAGTGCAAACTGCCTTACCTTGGAAATTGTTGACTTCCTTCCTGCCAAGCATTTTTCTTTTTTTTTTTTTTTTTTTTTTTTTTGAGATGGAGTTTTGCTCTTGTCTCCCAGGCGGGAGTGCAATGTCACGATATCACTGCAACCTCCACCTCCTGGGTTCAAGTGATTCTTCTACCTCAGCCTCCCGAGTAACTAGGATTACAGGCATGAGCCACCAGGGCCAGCTAATTTTTGTATTTTTAGTAAAGAGAGGGTTTCGTCATGTTGGCCAGGCTGGTGGTACCTGCCACCATGCCTGGGTAACCCAAGCATACTTTTACCTCAGTCAAATGTCAGATAAATATCCGAAGAGGTATTAGTTCATGTGGGTCCAGAAAATGGGAATAAAGGTCTAAGGAAGGATGAGTATTATAAAGTAGCCGATTTAGAACTTCCCAGAAATACCAGCAGTCTCAAAATAGAATAGGTAGCCTTTGCTACAAAGTTTTACGTTGCTGGAGGTGTACAAGCAGAGATAGGAGCAAAGGTAAGGCTTTCACTCAAACACGCTTGTGTTGTGGCAGAATTTTGAAAATGATTACACTCATTTTTACTAGTTTTGATGTGATTTTAGGGTATTTCAGGACGGTCTATTTGAAATGACAAAGGAAAGTGAATCTGTTTTGTCTTCCCAAAAAGATTGTTTCTAAGATTTCATGATTCTCTCTTGAGTTCATGAGAAGATTCTTGTGAGAGGGAAGAAACTCTGTACCTGATTTTACCCCTGACTCTGTAGCAAAAATGAGGGTGGAAGATCAAATGAAATTGTGAAATTTGTAACTTATAAAACATATCATTTCATTTCAGAAGTAACATTAAATTCAAGCCCTTTGAAAGGTCTATTTTATTTTTTTAAATGTCAAATAGGACAAGGTCTCAAAGTTAAAAATTTGAGAGTTAATGCTTTTGTTTTTCTTTTTCCTGAAAAGCATTCACAGCTCTGATGGAGGGCAAAATCAATAAGCAGCTGAAGAAAGTTCTGAAGAAAATAGTAAAAGAAGCCCACGAACCGCTGGCAGTAGCTGATGCTAAACTAGGAGGGGTCATAAAGGTAAAGTCATGATTTTTTTGGTCATGCCTGCTAGTCAGATCTCACAGCATACCAACTACAAAGCCTAGCCTTTGTAATAAGTTGCTTATCATAAGTTCTTAATACTTTTTTTTCTCTTTTCTCTAAGCTGCATGATAATGGATTTCCCCTAACATCTGCTGAACCAAGCAAATAAGCAATATCTATTTGTTGTAGAAGATATAGAAGAACAAAAAATGATAAAAATTGTCTTTAACAAATCTGCTACCCATATATAATGTTAACATTCTATGTATATTATGCCATATTTTTGTCTAGCCACATTTTTCTTTTTTCAACAAAAATGGGGTCCTTATATTTTTTAGAAATATGTTTATTAGAAAACTTTAGTAGGGGTGTATTGCTGAAGATGAAATAAAATGTGAGAGTGGATAGAAAGACTAGGAAAATAGCCTCCCAAATGCAGAAAGCAGAACAATTTGGGCCGGTCGCATTGGCTCACACCTGTAATCCCAGCACTTTGGGAGGCCGAGGTAGGAGGATCACGAAATCAGGAGATCGAGACCATCCTGGCTAACTCGGTGAAACCCCATCTCTACTAAAAATACAAAAAAGTACCTGGGCATGGTGGCAGGCGCCTGTAGTCCCAGCTACTTGGGAGGCTGAGGCAGGAGAATGGCATGAACCCAGGAGGCAGAGCTTGCAGTCAGCCGAGATCACGCTGCTGCACTCCAGCCTGGGCAACAGCAAGACTCCATCTCAAAAAAAAAAAAAAAAAAGAAAAAGAACAGTTCGAAAGTCAGGGCTGGAGCGCAGGCAGTGGCGCAGTCTCACAGCTCACCGCAGACTTGACCTCCCGTTCTCAAGCAATCCTCCCTCTTCAGTAGCTGGGACTACAGGCACATGCCACCATGCCGGCTAATTGTTTTATTTTATTTATTTGAGACAGAGTCTCACTCTGTCGCCCTAGCTGGAATGCAGTGGCATAATCTCAGCTCACTGCAACCTCTGCCTCCTGGGTTCAGGGGATTCCCCTGCCTTAGCCTTCCCAGTAGCTGGGATTACAGATATCTGCCACTATGCCCTGACCTCCCAAATTGCTAGGATTACAGTATGAGCCACCACGTCCAACCTGTAATTTTTTTTTTTAAGGCAGAGTCTCACTCTGTTGCCAGGCTGAAGTGCAGTGGCACAATCTTAGCTCACTGCAACCTCCGCCTCCTGGGTTCAAGAGATTCTCCTGCCTCAGCCTCCCAAGTAGCTGGAACTATAGGCACCTGCCACCATGCCCGGCTAATTTTTGTATTTTTAGTAGAGATGGGGTTTCACCATGTTGGCCAAGATGGTCTTGATCTGTTGACCTTGTGATCTGCCTACCTCGGCCTCCCAAAGTGCTGGGATTACAGGCGTGAGCCACTGCGCCCAGCATAACCTGTAATTTAAAAAGAAAGTTAAGTAACAGGTAGTAAAAGATCCCCTTAAACCAACTACTTGATCAAATTATATTAATCTTTTTACAGCTTTTATCTTACATAACCAAGCTGCCTTCTGGAAGCTTATATCAGTTTTTACTTCCACCAATGATACACTCAAGTAATCTACAAACACACTAGAAATTATACTTCCTGTCCAGCTGAGAAATGCATATATTTAAGTCAGTGCCACTTTAATATTTAAGAAATAATTTCAGGCTGGGCACGGTGGCTCATTACTGTAATCCCAGCACTTTGGGAAGCTGAAGCAGGCGGATCACTTGAGGTCAGGACCAGCCTGGCCAACATGGTGAAACCCCGTCTCTACTAAAAATACAAAATTAGCTGGGCATGGTGGTTCATTCTTGTAATAATCCCAGCTACTCAGGAAGCTGACATAGGAGAATCACTTGAACCCAGAAGATGGAGGTTGTGGTGAGCCAAGATTGCGCCACTGCACTCCAGCCTGGGTGACAGAGTGATACACTGTCTCAAAAAATAATAATAATAACTACAGGTAAGTCTTCTTTTTCTTTATTTAATATAGAAGTTCTTGTTCTCGTAGGAAAAGCTGAATCTCAGTTGTATCCATAGTCCTGTTGTTAATGAACTTATGAGAGGAATTCGTTCACAAATGGATGGATTAATCCCTGGAGTAGAACCACGTGAAATGGCAGCTATGTGTCTTGGATTGGCTCACAGGTGAGAATTACTGGAAAATAAAGTCAACTTACTTTTATATGATAAGCACTTTACATAGCTTTGTTCTAAGAATATTACAAATGTTCATTTGAACCTCATCAGAACCTTATGAAGACGATTATAGTAATATCCTCATTTATAGATGAAACTGATGCCCAGGATCAGTACAGCTAGTAAGTGGTAAAGCCAGGATTTGAACCCCGGCAGTCTGGCTCCATTGTCTGGATTCTTAAAACCTCAAAACCTCATCAAAGGAATTCTCTACTCCTCTGATCTTGGATCCCCTATTTCTTGGGCTTTCCTTCTTTTATCTCTGCTAAGTCATGCCACTCCTCCATCTACTTAATATTTCCCCAAATTCTGTCATCTGCTATGGTCTTATGGGGTAGGTGTGTATTTGTGTTTTGATTGTTTTACTCTGATATTTAATGAGGCAAAGAGGACTAGGTGCAGTGGCTCACCCCTGTAATCTCAACTCCAGGAGACCAGGAGTTTGAGACTAGCCTGGGACAACATAGGAAGACCTCATGTGTCTCCTTTTGTTTTGTTTTGTTTTGTTTTGAGACAGAGTCTTACTCTGTCACCCAGATTGGAGTGTAGTGACGTGATCTCAGCTTACTGCAGCCCCTGCCTCCCAGGCTCAAGTGATTTTCTTGCCTCAGCTTCCGAGTAGCTAGGATTACAAGCGTGCAACACTACTGCCCAGCTAATTTTTGTATTTTTAGTAGAGACGGGCTTTCACCTTGTTGGCCTGGCTGATCTTGAACTCCTGACCTCAAATGATCCACCCGCCTCAACCTTCCAAAGTGCTGGGATTATAGGCTTCAGCCACCACGACTGGCCGCCCTTTTTTTTTTTTTTTTTTGGAGACAGGGTCTCACTGTGTTGTTCAGGCTAGGGTGCAGCGGTGCGATCTTGCCTCGCTGCAGCCTTGACATCCTGGGATCAAACAGTGCCACCTCAGCCTCCCAAGTAGCTGGGACTACAGGTGCGTGCCACCATCCCTCGCTGGTTTTTTAACTTTTTGTAGAGACGGGGTTTTGCCATGCTGCCCAGGCTGGAACTGCTAGGCTCAAGTGATCCACCTGCCTCAGCCTCCCAAAGTGCCGCTGCTACAGGTGTGAGCCACCATGCCCAGCCATGTCCCTGTTTTTAATTGCATCTTAACTCTATCATATTTAATTAGAAGTCCCTTAGAGTAGGCATTATTGCTATATTGTGATATATCTGTTCATGAAAAGCATAATACTCTGGAATTGCACTACAGTTAACAGGGTTGTGAAGAAAGTAATGGTAGGTAGTTGCTCAAAACCTATGCAGTTTTGTAATCAGTACTATCAAATAGTAATCCTAATAAAATTATTACCACAGTTCAAAAGACATCTTAAGTTCATACTAAAGAAACACTGCAGGCCGGGTGCAGTGGCTCACGCCTGTAATCCCAGCACTTTGACAGGCCAAGGTGGGCGGATCACGAGGTTAGGAGATCGAGACCATGGTGAAACCCCGTCTCTACTAAAAATACGAATAATTAACTGGGCGCGGTGGCGGGTGCCTATAGTCCCAGCTACTCAGGAGCCAAGGCAGGAGAATGGCATGAACCCAGGAGGTGGAGCTTGCGGTGAGTCGAGATTGCGCCACTGCACTCCAGCCTGGGTGACAGAGCAAGACTCCGTCTCAAAAAAAAAAAACACAAAAAACTACAATTAAAAAAGGTCTATTTTAAAATTAAAAGGTGGGCATAGATTGAAAGGGTTGAAGCTGCTAAGTTAGAGTTAAGAGCGAAAATGCACAAAGGTCAGGGAGAGCTTTGTAATAAGCATTTCTAAGAGAGAACAAATGTTGAAACTGAGTCACAAATCCAAACTTGGGTAAATCTGCATTGTGTATAGCAGTGGTTCTCTATCGAGGGCAATCAAATGTCCCCTCAGTGGGCGTTTGCCAATGTCCATAGACATTTTTGGTTGTCACAATTGGAGGTGGGGTGGGGTCTGCCACGAACATCTAGTGGATAAAAGTTAGGAGTACTGCTAAAGGTCCTATAATGCACAGAGCAGCCCCTACAACAAGGAATTAGGCCCAAAATGTTAATTGTGCTGACATGAAAAACATTTATATACAAACAATATTGTTACTTCACAGCTTTCTGTTTTCAGATGTTAAGAGTGCTGCAAAATTTTTTTTTTTTTTTTTTTTGAGACGGAGTCTCCCTCTGTTGCCCAGGCTGGAGTGCAGTGGCGCAATCTCGGCTCACTGCAAACTACTCCTTCCGGGTTCACACCATTCTCCTGCCTTAGTCTCCCAAGCAGCTGGGACTACAGGCGCTCGCCACCATGCCCGGCTAATTTTTTTGTATTTTTAGTAGAGACAGGGTTTCACCGTGTTAGCCAGGATGGTCTCAATCTCCTGAGCTCGTGATCCACCCGCCTCTGCCTTCCAAAGTGCTGGGATTATAGGTGTGAGCCACCGTGCCCAGCAAAGTTCTTAACTGGTAGTATAAAGCTTAATATGTGCTATAAAAGATTGCATGAACCAATATGGCTTGTTTTTGAGACGGAGTCTTGGCTATGTTGCCCAGGCTGGAGTACAGTAGCATGCGATCTCAGCTCACTGCCACCTCTGCCTCCCCGGTTCAAGCGATTCTCCTGCCTCAGCCTCCAGAGTAGCTGAGATTCAGGCGTGCCCCATCATACCTGGCTAATTTTTGTATTTTTAGTAGAGACATGGTTTCGCCATGTTGGCCAGGTTGGTCTCGAACGCCTAACAGGTGGTCTGCCCACCTTGGCCTCCCAAAGCCAGTCCAATATGACTTTTGTATTACACAGCTTATTCTATTTGTCACTCATACATAAACTCATTCATGTTACAGAAATACAGGTGGTAGCAGTATACATAGTTTTTTTTTTTAAAAAAAATGTGTATTTTCTGATCTTGCATGGTGCATTTCTACTTAGGTGATTTTTCTTTTTAGAAAAACCAATTATAGCTCTGACTACAGGCTGATTTGAGTGAAAAAAAAAAAAACTTTAAGGTGTTAATTTAAATGCTTTCCCTAGATGCTATCTTACTAATTTATTTTCCCCTTTTTTCCCAGCCTGTCTCGATATAGATTGAAATTTAGCGCTGATAAAGTAGACACAATGATTGTTCAGGCAATTTGTAAGTATAGTACATGCAAAGTATGATTTGTTGCTCTGTCCTTCATGTGTTTTCATACTGTTGAAACTGTATCTTTTATGATTCTATCTATTGAGAAAGAGAAAGGAGGCCAGGTGCGGTGGCTCACGCCTTTAATCCCAGCACTTTGGGAGGCCGAGGTGGGCAAATCACCTGAAGTCAGGAGTTCAAGACCAGCCTGGCCAACATGGCAAAACCCTGTCTCTACTAAAAATACAAAAAAATTAAATGTGCATGGTGGCGTGCACCTGTAATCCCAGCTACTCAGGAGGCTGAGACAGGATAATCGATTGAACCCAGGAGGCAGAGGTTGACTATTTGGAGATTATATGAATCACAGAGTTAACATTACATTAATTAATTCATTTCTGTTTTTCCATGAAAATGTTAAAAACATAAGTGGAATCTTTGTAGTTGTATGTTCTGCTGTGTCATTAAATGATTTTTAGAAAGCTGAAAAGCTGCCAGGCACAGTGGCTCATGCCTGTAGTTCCAGCACTTTGGGAGGCTGAGGCGGGAGGATCACCTGAGGTCGGGAGTTCGAGACCAGCCTGACCAACATGGAGAAGTCTCGTCTCTACTAAAAGTACAAAATCAACCAGACTTCGTGGTGCATGCCTGTAGTCCCAGCTATTCGGGAGACTGAGGCAGGAGAATCACTTGAACCCTGGAGGCAGATGTTGTAGTGAGTCGAGATAGCGCCATTGCACTCCAGCCTGGGCAACAAGAGCAAATCTCCATCTCACAAAAAAAAAAAAACAAACAAAAAACCTCAAAATCTTAATCATATTTCTATTTTAGAAATGCATTTGGCCTTGGCTCACGCCTATAATCGCACACTTTGGGAGGCCAAGGCGGGTGGATCACCTGAGGTCAGGAGTTTGAGACCTGGCCAACATGGTGAAACCCAATCTTTAGTAAAAAAAATACAAAAATTAGCTGAGCATGATGGTAGGCATCTGTAATTCCAGCTACTCAGGAGGCTGAGGGAGGAGAATCACTTGAACCCGAGAGTCGGCAGTTGCAGTCGGCTGAGATCACACAATTTCACTCTAGCCTGGACAACATGAGCAGCACTCCGTCTCAAAAAAACAAAAAAGTATTTGGCTGGGCGCAGTGGCTCACACCTGTAATCCTAGCACTTTGGGAGGCCAAGGCAGGTGAATTGCCTGCGCTCAGGAGTTCGAGAGTAGCCTGGCTAACATGGCGAAACCCTGTCTTCACTAAAAATGCAAAATAGTAGCTTGTCGAGGTGGTGTGCGCCTCTAGTCCCAGCCACTTAAGAGGCTGAGGAAGGAGAATCACTTGAACCCAGAAAGCAGAGGTTGCAGTGAGCTGAGATTGCGCCACTGCACTCCATCCTGGGTGATGGAGTTAGACTCTATCTCCAAAAAGAGGAAAAAAAAAAATGTGTTCAAGCAGCAAGTCCTTTCCTAGATTTATACCCAAAAGAATTAAAAACAAGAACTCAGAGTTCCTTGTACACCAATGTTCATAACAGTGTTATTTACAAAACCGAACAGTGGAAACAACCCAGATACCTTTTAACAGATGAATGGATAAACTGCCTCGTGGATGCAGCTTGAATGTCTGTAATCTGAAATTCAAAATACTCTAAAATCTAAAACTTTTTGTGCTACCACACGAATCCACAAGCGGAAAACTCTACACCTGACCACATGTGATAGGCCACAGTCAAAACTTTGTTTTATGCACAAAATTATTTAAAATATTATGTAAAACAGCCAGGCGCAGTGGCTCATGCCTGTAATCCCAGCACTTTGGGAGGCTGAGGCGGGCGGATCACAAGGTCAGGAGATCGAGACCATCCTGGCTAACATGGTGATACCCCGTCTCTGCTAAAAATACAAGAAATTAGCCGGGCGTGATGGCGGGCGCCTGTTGTCCCGGCTTCTTGGGAGGCTGAGGCAGGAAAATGGCATGAACCCGGGAGGCAGAGCTCGCAGTGAGCCGAGACTGCACCACTGCACTCCAGCCTGGGCGACAGAGCGAGACTCCATCTCAAAAGAGTCCCATCCTCAAAATAACCTCACATGTGTTTGCAAATACTCTGAAATACCTCTGGTCCCAAGCATTTTGGATAACGTACACCCAGCCTCTACACACAGTGGAATGTCAGCCAGCCTTAAAAAGAAATGAAATTCTGACACACATTTCATTTCTTAGCTAAGTGAAATAGTCACAAAGTACTGCATGATTCTGCTTATATGAAGTACCTAAAATAGGTGAACTCAGAGACCGAAGTATAGAGATAACTAGAGGTTGGGGGGAAGGTGGGAATGAGTTACTATTTAATGGGTACAGAATTTTTCAGTTTCTGATGATAAAATTGCTCTGGAAATAGATAATGGTAATGGTTGCATAACATCATAAATGTACTTAATGCTACTGAATAGTACACTTGAAAATGGTTGAAGTGTTATTATTGTTTTTTTATTTTTTATGACAGAGTCTTGCTCTGTCACCCAGGCTGGAATGCAGTGGCATGATCTCGGCTTACTGCAGCCTCCACCTCCTGGGTTCAAGTGATTCTTCTGCCTCAGCCCTCTAGAGTACCTGGGGTTACAGACATGAGCCACCACGCCTGGCTAATTTTTGTATTGTTAGTAGAGATGGAGTTTCACCATGTTGGCCAGGCAGGTCTCGAACTTCTGATCTCATGATCTGCCTGTCTCGGCCTTCCAAAGTGCTGGGATTACAGACATGAGCCACTGCACCCGGCCTGAAGTGTTAAATTTTATATTGTGTATATTTTACCACAATAAATCCCTTTAAGTTCCTGGTTTTCTTTTGTTTTTGTTTTTGTTTGTTTTTAATCTACTACAGCTTTGTTAGATGACTTGGACAAAGAACTAAACAACTACATTATGCGATGTAGAGAATGGTACGGCTGGCATTTCCCTGAATTAGGAAAAATTATTTCAGATAATTTGACATACTGCAAGTGTTTACAGAAAGTTGGTGAGTAATTTGTTCATCCTTTAAGGCATTGAAAGTAAATGAATTTGATTGCATCCTAAAACATAACGTATAGCATTTCGTTAAGCAAGATTCCCAGGGTTTTTGCAATTTCTATGTATTTGGGAAATGGAGCAATTTAGTGTCTTAAATTTAAGAAACAAAATGAATTTTAACTTAGATTTTGATGGCCTATGACATGACATTAGTACCTAATACTAAATAGCTGTATTTAGTGTTACATATAGGATTGCTGTCTCTACTGTTAATATACAGAGGAACTTGATTGTTGATTTTCATTAATGTGCAGAGGAACTTGATTGATTCATGGTTTACTTGACTTACAAATTACTGGCCCCAGCTTTAGTATAAAATTGTCTGTGACATTATTATTAGTCCTGTCTTTTTAAATTTTTGCTACTTATTTTCTTTAATAAGTTTTGTGGCTAATTTGTCTTGTTTTTACTCTGATTATTTTTTGGAGGAAGGTGTTGGGGAGACATTTCATGTCTAGACTTAAACCCTTAAATGAGGAAAACTATTATACTAGGTCAAACTTCTTCATTTTTTTGTTTTGTTTAGGCATCCTTTTCATTGGCTTTCTACTTTTTCTTTTGACTGTTTGCTGGATTTTATATAATTTGTTGAAGAGTGATTCTCCCTCATCCTCTGCAAACATTCCATAGGCGATAGGAAGAACTATGCCTCTGCCAAACTTTCTGAGTTGCTGCCGGAAGAAGTTGAAGCAGAAGTGAAAGCAGCTGCAGAGATATCAATGGGAACAGAGGTTTCAGAAGAAGATATTTGCAATATTCTGCATCTTTGCACCCAGGTAAATTTTACTTCTGGGGAATCTAGTTGTGGTGTTACCAGCTCTATAATACTAATTTTTCTGATGGCAATGATGATTTACACTTACTGTTGTTCACCTGATAACATAAATATGAGGGTGTTCAGTCACTACCTCATCTGATGCCATCATGATTTGTATACTTAAAAGGGGGAAATACATATTAAAAGGAAGTAATTTACAATCATCATCTGAATAATGAATTAACCAAAAATCAATTAAGACGGCAGAGAAGACACCAGGCGTGTTGGCTCATGCCTGTAATCCCTGCATTTTGGGAGGCCAAAGTGAATCACCTGAGGTGAGGAGTTTGAGACCAGCTTGACCAATATAATGAAACCCCATCTCTGCTAAAAATACAAAAATTAGCTGTGCGTGGTGGCATGCACCTGTAATCCCAGCTACTCAGGAGGCTGAGACAGAATCGCTTGAACTAGGGAGGTAGAGGTTGCAGTGAGCCGAGATGGCGCCATTGCATCCAACCTGGGCAAAAAGAGCAAAACTCCATCTCAAAAAAAAAAAAAACAAAAAAGATGGCAGAGAATTATGGATTGAGCTTTTTAATTCTGAGTTTTATGTCTATATCTTGTGATTTTTTTTTTTTTCTTTCAGATTTGAAGATAGTCATATGGGAATTAAAGAGAGCATGACACAAATGTTTATTGCTTAGAAACTTTTTTTTTTTTTTGGGAGACAGAGTCTCGCTCTATAGCCCAGGCTGGAGTGCAGTGGCACAATCTCAGGCTCACTGCTACCTCTCCCTCCCAGGTCCCAGTTTAAGCGATTCTCCTGCCTCAGTCTCCCGAGTAGCTGGGATTACAGGCACGTGCCACCATGCCCAGCTAATTTTTGTTTTTAGTGGAGATGGGGTTTCACCATGTTGGCCAGGCTGGTCTTGAACTCCTGACCTTGTGATCCACCTGCCTCGACCTCCCAAAGTGCTGGAATTACAGGCGAGAACCATTGGGCCTGGGAGCTGCTTAGAGCTTAGAATTTTTTTTTTTTTTTTTTTTTTGAGACAGAGTCTCACCTGTCTCCCAGGCTGGAGTGCAGTGGCACGATCTCAGCTCACTGCAAGCTCCGCCTCCTGGTTTCATGCCAGTCTCTTGCCTCAGCCTCCCGAGTAGCTGGGACTACAGGCGCCTGTCACCAGGCCTGGCTAGATTTTTTTTGTTTGTTTTGTTTTTGTTTTTGTTTTTCTGATTTTTTAATAGAGACGGGGTTTCACCGTGATAGCCAGGATGGTCTTAATCTCCTAACCTTGTGATCCGCTCGCCTCGGCCTCCCAAAGTGCTAGGATTACAGGCATGAGCCACCATGCCTGGCCTAGAATCTTCTAAAAGTACAGTTACATTTTCAGGCAGTGGACTAGGTGGTTTACATACATTACATAAGAAAGTCCTTACTACAGCCATTTTATAAAAACTGATATTAGGATCACGACGTCACGAGATTGCACCACTGCAGCACTCCAACCTGGTGACAGAGCAAGACTGTCTCAAAAAACAAAAAGAAAACTGATGTTAGGCATAGTTGATGTACCCAGGGTTGTGTAGCTGCTCTTTCATGATTGAGGGCTCCAGTGTTTTAGACAGGAATTTTATACTGTTTTTACTCATATGATATTTGTGACTCACTTTATTCCTTATACTAGGTGATTGAAATCTCTGAATATCGAACCCAGCTCTATGAATATCTGCAAAATCGAATGATGGCCATTGCACCCAATGTTACAGTCATGGTTGGGGAATTAGTTGGAGCACGGCTTATTGCTCATGCAGGTGATGGTTTTAATGTAATTTGTAAATATGAGTGTTTGAAGTATTTTCTGGTTAGGATTTTGTTTACATCTTTAAACCACAGCTATTAAAGAAATTTTAGCTAATAACACAAAAGTAGATGGTATGTAGGAGATCACTAAGGGCCAAGTGTTCAATGATGATTTCTATTTGTTTGCCTGATTTCCTTTTGGATAATGAAGGCATCTTTAGTCACTACCTCTTCTGAGACACTTGTGGTCCATTGTTAGAAGTTTGTTATGGTTAATTAGAATAATCAGATGCATGCAGAAGGATAAAACAGTTAACATTTTCATAATAAAAACTCACTAGACCTAGATTTGAATACAGTTTTAAGAAATCACTGTAGAGGATTTATGCCCTCAATTGATTATCTTAGTTTCACTATTGAGTGTGCGGATGTAATATGTTTGACTTTGAAAAATATTTTCAACAACTGATTTATAATAAAACTTTGTATATGTGTATGGCAGTATTATAAGGATGATATGCTATAATTAAAATGCTATGTAATTGAATACAAATACAATGAAGTGCTGATTCATCATTTTTATGTTACTTGGAGACATTGTTATAATCCATCAAAAAAGATCCTATATCATCTGCGTCAGAGTTTAAAACAGCATAACTCCTTTTTTGTTTGTTGGTTTGAGACGGAGTTTCAGTCTGTTACACTGGCTGGAGTGCAGTGGCTCACTGCAACCTCCACCTCCCAGGTTCAAGCAGTTCTCCTGCCTCAGCCTCCTAAGTTGCTGGAATTACAGGCGTGCGCTGCCACCATGCCTGGCTAATTGTTACATTTTTAGTTGAGACAGGGTTTTTGCCATGTTGGCCAGGCTGGTCTCAAACACCTGACCTCAGGTGATCTGCCCACCTCGGCCTCCCAAAGTGTTGGATTACAGGCATGAGCCACTCGGCCTGACCTGGCATATCCTTTAGCTGCATCATTAATCAAAGATTTCATTCAAGGCCGGGCGCAGTGGCTCAAGCCTGTAATCCCAGCACTTTGGGAGGCCGAGACGGGCGGATCACGAGGTCAGGAGATCGAGACCATCCTGGCTAACACAGTGAAACCCCGTCTCTACTAAGAAATAAAAAAAACTAGCCGGGCGAGGTGGCGGGCGCCTGTAGTCCCAGCTACTCGGGAGGCTGAGGCAGGAGAATGGCGTAACCCGGGAGGCGAAGCTTGCAGTGAGCTGAGATCTGGTCACTGCACTCCAGCCTGGGCAACAGAGCAAGACTCTGTCTCAAAAAAAAAAAAAAAGATTTCATTCAAGTGCCCTCAGCTATAAGATCAGATGATTTCATTGCCTCCACCCATTTTCATAGGTACAGCTAAACTTGTAGCAGTAAGCAGTGGCAGGGGTTAATAGAAGTATGTGTTTGTTGGCCAGGCATGGTGACTCACACCTGTAATCCCAACACTTTGAGAGGCTGAGGTGGGTGAATCACCTGAGGTCAGGAGTTTGAGACCATCCTGGCCAACATGGTAAAATTCCATCTCTACTAATAACACAAAAATTAGCTGGCCTTGGTGGCGTGAGCCTGTAATCCCAGCTACTCGGGAGGCTGAGGCAGGAGAATCGCTTGAACCCAGCAGGTGGAGGTTGCAGTGAACCGAGATTGTGACATTGCACTCCAGCCTGGGCGACAAGAGCGAAACTCCATCTCAAAAAAAAGGAACTATGTATTTATTACACTTTTTAAACTATGTCTAGTGCTTAAATTCATAGCATTAATATTGAGTCTGTTTTCTGACAATAAATATTCTATACAGCATATCCAACTGAGCAGCATGTTGATAACAATAGTCCCCAGCTATTTATGGGGATATATTCTAAGCTCTCCCTTCCAAGGATGTTTGAAACAGAGGATAGTACTGAACCCTATACTGTATATACTGTTTTTTCCTAAACATACATATCTACAATAAAGCTTAATTTATAAATTAGGTACAGTGGGATATGAACAACAGTAATAATAGAACAGTTATAACAATATTCCAGCAGCCAGGTGCAGTGGGTCAAGCTGTAATCCCAGCATTCTGGAAGGCTGAGGAGGGTGGCTTACAAGGTCAGGAGTTCAAGATCAGCCTGGCCAAGATGGTGAAACCCTGTCTCTACTAAAAATATGAAAAAAATTAGCTGGGCGTGGTGGTGGGCGCCTGTAATCCCAGCTACTCAGGAGGGTGAGGCAGATAATTGCTTAAACCTGAGAGGCAGAGGATACAGTGAACCAGGGTCGTGCCACTGCACTCCAGCCTGTGCGACAGCAAAACTCCATCTCAAAAAAAAAAAAAAAAAAAAAAAGCCAGCATAACTATTTTCGTGCATTGTTTACTTGAATATAAGCACTGCAGTACTACTGCACCACGGAGAGGGCTACAAAAGTGACTAATGGGTAGATAGGGATGGTGGGGGGGCTGAGTGGGGTGGCAAGAGACTTAAAACCTAGTGTTCCTGTGTGTGACATTTATGTCACTCCTATAGTACACTAATGAAATATAGAATGGTACTACCATCTCTCAGGTGAATAGAGACATTGGACTTAATAAGCTTAACCTTCAGTTTGTCCTAGGCATTCATTGCAAACCTGCTTGTGCTAATGAAGGAATTACAAATGAAATATCAAGGTTTTTAGGGAATTCTGGATTATAGAATTCTATATTATATGTGATTTTTGTTTATTATGGTGGCTACAATATTGTATAGGTCTTTTGTTTTAGTACATGGAACATTCATGTGTTTGAAGGTGTATTCTTTGTAACTTTTTTCTTTTATAGGTTCTCTTTTGAATTTGGCCAAGCATGCAGCTTCTACCGTTCAGATTCTTGGAGCAGAAAAGGCACTCTTCAGAGCCCTCAAATCTAGACGGGATACCCCTAAGTACGGTCTCATTTATCATGCTTCACTCGTAGGCCAGACAAGTCCCAAACACAAAGGAAAGGTGTGTTACAGGGTTTTGTTTTGTTTTTGAGGTTGGACTTCTTCATTTTTTACAACCCTTTTTTCTTCTATAGTACACATTAAATCTTTCTATTGTCTCTTTCTCGTTAGAGAATGGTGAGTTATTTAAATAAAAAGCACTTTGTGTACACTGAAGGATAAAGTTAGAAGAAATTGTTATTTGTTGATTTAAAGCCAGTTTCTTCATTGTGTTAGTATTTTTTTTTCCTCTAGGATCTCCCTGTGGTTGGCACACAAAATATTATCTCTGACAGGAAAAAAAATCTAACATTTATGAATCATAAAAAATAGTATATGCATTATGCTAAAACACTTTGACAGAATTCACTAAACATTTTTTTTTGAGACGGCATCCTGCTCTGTTGCCAGGCTGGAGTGCAAGTGGCTTGATCTCGGCTCACTACAACCTCCACCTCCTGGGTTCAAGCAATTCTCCTGTCTCAGCCTCCTGAGTAGCTGGGACTATACGCATGTGCACACCTGGCTAATTTTTGTATTTTTAGTGGAGACGGGTTTCACCATGTTGGCCAGGCTGGTCTCGAATTCCTGACCTCGTGATCCACCCACTTTGGCTTCCCAGAGTGCTGGGATTACAGGTGTGAGCACCCGTGCCCATCCTAAATCTTTAGTAGCCTTATGAGATATAGGTATCTGTTTTACAGATGATGAAACTGAGGCTCAGACAAGTTAAGTACTTTCAATGTTTTTGAAAGATGTGTTGTTTAACAGAACTAAACTGAAATTTGATAAAATTTAGAGCAGAGTGGTGGAGGGAAATAAAGGGTGCAATAACATAAAATGTTAATTAGGTTGAGAAAGAACCCACACTTTTTATTATTTATTTATTTATTTATTTTTTGAGACGGAGTCTCTTTCTGTCGCCCAGGCTGGAGTGCAGTAGTGCGATCTCGGCTCACTGCAACCTCCAGCTCCTGAGTTCACACCATTTTCCTGCCTCAGCCTCCCGAGTAGCTGGGACTACAGGTGCCTGCCACCACTCCCAGCTAATTTTTTGTGTTTTTAGTAGAGACGGGTTTTCACCATGTTGGCCAGGATGGTCTCGATCTCCTGACCTCGTGATCCACCCGCCTCGGCCTCCCAAAGTGCTGGGGTTACAGGCGTGAGCCACTGTGCCCAGTCAGAACCCACACATATTTAAGATTGTTATGGGGAAAAAGATGCACTTGTTGTGAATGACCTCAAGGCACAGAACTAATGTCAGTGAGTAGAAAGTAAAGTTATTTTACAAAATCCAGTTTGAGCTAATTTTTGACAGGAATTGCTATAAAATCTTTTCAGCCACAGAATTGGTGGTGATGTATGGCCATTAGATTGTGGCAAAGATTGAAATACGATGGATGATTTGAATTGTATGATTCATAATAGTTTTATAACTCCTGATTTTAAAACATCCTGGAATAAATGTGATAATTTGCTGGAACTGTCTCATGAGCCAGTTACTGAGGATTTTACATCTGAACATGGAATATAGTTCTTCATGTTTTTCTATTAGATTTCTCGAATGCTGGCAGCGAAAACTGTTTTGGCTATCCGTTATGATGCTTTTGGTGAGGATTCAAGTTCTGCAATGGGAGTTGAGAACAGAGCCAAATTAGAGGCCAGGTTGAGAACTTTGGAAGATAGAGGGGTAAGAATACCACATCATGCCTATTCCAGAAGTATTAAACTGTCAAAAGTTAATAAATTGAGTAAATTTATGAAGTTACTTTATCTGCTAAATAGTTTTATGATCCTTGTTAGTATGTCTAAAGTATTCTTTTTGTGCCTACTATTAACAATTGCTATTATTTACGAAGAATTGATGTATACAATAGCATTTGCCATTAGGATATGCTATTCAAAATAACAAAAAATAGCAGAAATTGTTTGCTGGCCCACTGATTCACTAGACTGTTTAGTGTATTATAAAGTGACTTAGAATTGTATTTGTAATTTTTCCTTTTCGTCTTAGATAAGAAAAATAAGTGGAACAGGAAAGGCATTAGCAAAAACAGAAAAATATGAACACAAAAGGTGAGTACATTTAAGTGAGAATGGGGTGAATAGTTTTTTTAAATGTTAATTATTGACAACGATTTTGTAAATTTCACTTTGATGTGCCCATAGTTTTTCAAATTTATTTAATTGACAAAAATTGTTTATTGTGTACAGTTATTTTGGAAAATGTGCACATTGAGGAATGATTAAGTCAAGCTCATTAACATGCATTGTCTTACATACTTTTTTTTGTAGTGAGGACACCTTAAAATCTACTTAGCAATTTTTAAGAATATAACACATTGTTAACTGTAGTTAACCATGTTGTGCACCCCTAATTTTTTTCCGTGCCATTTAGTTTTCCACATTAACTTCTAGTTTTCATTCATATACGTATTTATTCATTTCCAGATATTGATAGTAAATTTTTAAATCTAAAGTTTCTCTATAATATGTTCTTTATCAAAAAGTTCATTCAGCCGGGCATAGTGGCTCCTGCCTGTGATCCCAGCACTTTGCGAGGCCGAGGCAGGCAGATCACCTGAGGTCAGGAGTTCAACACCAGCCTAGCCAACGTGGTGAAACCTCGTCTCTACTAAAAATACAAAAAATTATCTGGGCGTGGTGGCGGGCGCCTGTAATCCCAGCCACTTTGGAGGCTGAGGCAGGAGAATCGCTTGAAACCTGGGAGGCAGAGGGGTGCAGTGAGCTGAGATTGCGCCATTCCACTCCAGCCTGGGCAACAAGAGCAAAACTCTGTCTCAAAAAAAAGTTCATTCAGAGTTAGTCCCTACAGAAACCTATTTTGTAAAAAGTATAAAGACAGAAAACAAGTCTAAAAATGGCTGAGGCATGATAAAGCATTCAAACTTAACTATCAGATTAACAAAAGATTTGTATGTGGAGGGGTATTTGGCTTATTATTTGAGGTAATGCTCAATGCTGGTGAGGTTGTCATGGTGGAGGCAGAATGTGGTATAGCTATTCTAGGAAGCCATTTCACAGTATGTATCAAGATTCTTCAAAATGTTCCCAGTCATTACCCAATAAATTATACTTTCAGGGCTCATAAACCTTCAAGAATTTATTTATTTATTTGGTTTTTTAATTTATTTATATATTTTTTTGAGATGGAGTCTCTCTCTGTTGCCAGGCTGGAGTGCAGTGGCGTGATCCTGGCTCACTGCAACCTCTGACTCCCCGGTTCAAGAGATTCTCCTGCCTCAGCCTCCCAAGTAGCTAGGATTACAGGCATATACCACCACATCCAGCTAATTTTTGTATTTTTAGTAGAGCCGGAATTACACCATGTTGGCCGGGATGGTCTCGATCTCCTGACCTCATGATCCACCTGCCTCGGCCTCCCAAAGTGCTAGGATTACAGGTGTGAGCCACAGCGCCTGGCCTCCTTCAAGAATTTTAATAGTAAAATCTTACACTATAAGTGGATGAGGAGAGCAATATATAGTAACATTAGGAATTATAAATACATATTTAAGTATAATTAGTGTGTTCTGGAAGGAAATCAAATGTGTTTCTTGGGCATTCACATTTTCTTTTTTGTTAATTTTCCAAGCTTTCTACAATAGCCATACATTCTGCAATATTTACAGTCTGTAACTTATTATCTCTAGTTGACAAACATGGGTCTTTGTTTCTTAAATTGTAAATGTCTTTAACCTATAAAAATTAAATAGTCATGCAGTTTACAAATCTGCTTAAGAAACAGAACATTTTTTAGCTTGTTTTGAACCAATTTTTTTAATGTTCCTGTGCAATTAATGCTTTTTACTTTAAACATATGCAGTTAAAGCATCAGTTCACATTTTAGGCACTCATTTCAGTATTTCTTCTGCTTACATTAGAACAAAAGCAAATGTTGGGTTCTAAGGAATCTTTTCCATGTGTATGTATTTGTATCCTTTCTTGTTCTGCTTGTGATCTTGTGATGAAGACTTCTATACTAAGCTTGGTTTAGATTTTTTGTTTTGCCTTTTTTTTTTTTTTTTCATTTAATTGCGCAGTGTTCTGAAAGTTGGATTGGTTCATTTTTCACTTTCTAGTTAGGTGTGAAGACATTTTCTTCTTTCATTTCCCCCATGCTGATTGAGTGTTTTCCTGTACCATAGTAACTACATTGATTACTAAATCAGAATTCATTTAGCTCACCACTTCTCTTGAATGTGATTGACCTACTTGAAAAATATTAATACCTTTAACTTTTGGAAACTATTAGTCTTCATAAACTACCCCAAAGCCACTAAAATGAAACAACATTGTGTGCTTATGTAAGTATTATCTAATGGCATTTTCTTTATCTCTTGAGAATTATTTCAATTACAGATACTTGTAGAGATTTTCTAAAACTTTTTGGGTCTTTCAGTGAAGTGAAGACGTACGATCCTTCTGGTGACTCCACACTTCCAACCTGTTCTAAAAAACGCAAAATAGAACAGGTAGATAGAGAGGATGAAATTACTGAAAAGAAAGCAAAAAAAGCCAAGATTAAAGTTAAAGGTTAGTTTGAATTTTTTTTAACACAACTTATACTCATTTCTTTAGAACTATGGATTTTGTGAGTCTTCCAAGTACATGCCATTGCACTTTATTATAAAACTGCTCATTGAACGCTAATGGTATTTTAATAACGCCATGATGTTCTCTGGGAATAGTTATGATATTGTTAAATTTATCAGACTTCACAGAGGAAATGTGAGAAGTTTAGTCAAATTAGGTATTTTACTAAGAGTACCAAAACTTCAGTTTCTACTACATGAACTATTTTGAGAATTAAGAGAAAAAAGGAATGTGTTTTCTAAATTGGTTGTTGAAAATTTTTTGTTTTATAGTTAAGAATGAATGTGGAATTGATGGAACAGTAATTTTCTTCATTGTTTCTGTTATCTGGAGTAGACTAGAAGGAACACATACTGGTAGCCTCCTGTCATAGTTACAATATCTAGTAGGTGCTCACCAGTTAACTAGGCTGTCTTGTGAAGTTGATAAGCAGGGGCCCCATTGTTAGTTAAACCTGGGTTTCTTGAACACCTACTAGCAAGTCTAGCAAAAGAGTAAAGCATTAACACAATGATTGCTTTAACTTGGTTTCTAAGTAGCTTAGTGGTCAAAAGTGTATGTTCTACAAATGTGGATAGTATACTTGATAGAGAAGTAATTTATTTAACTTTTACGCTTCTTTTTATTGAAAAGTAAGGAGATCCCTAAACCGTAGCATTTGAGGCACCAAACTCTGTCTTTTGTATCCTCCATTATGTATCCAATAAGCTTTTCCGATTTACCTGTCAATTTTTCATCCCACAATTTCCCCCTTCTTCCCCCCCCTCCCGCCCCCCCCCCTCCCCCCACAAGGCAGAGTCTTGCTCTGTCACCCAGGCTGGAGTGCAGTGGCATGATCTCGGCTCACTGCAACCTCCGCCTCCCAGGTGCAAGCGATTTTCCTGCCTCAGCCTCTTGAGTAGCTGTGATTACAGGCATGCACCACCATGCCCGGCTAAAATTTTTATTTTTAGTGGAGACAGGGTTTCACCATGTTGGCCAGGCTGGTCTCAAAACACCTGACCTTGTGATCCACCCACCTTGGCCTCCCAAAGTCCTGGGATTACAGGTGTGAGCCACCACACCCAGTCCTCCCCCATCTTCTGTATGTGACGATTCCAGTTGCTTTGGCCATCAACCTTGACTTTTTCTCATAACTCAATCTAGTCTGACAGCGAATTCTCTCAGTTCTACTTGAAAGCATGTAGTAGCCACAGTGGAACCACCACTAGCTTTTTAAATCTAAATTTGTTCCAGCCATACTGGCCTGCTTGCTATTTCCTGAACCTATTTTCCATCCAGTTATCCCATCTGCCCTCCAAAAAGCCTTAAGACTTAAGCATCTGCTCTTCTCTACCTGGAATATTTTCCCTCAAGATACATGTATCATTCATTCACTCCCTCACCTCTTTTTGGTGTTTGCTGACCATTCTGCCTAAAATGGCCATATATACTGCCCTTTTCCAACATTCCCCTTCCTGCCTTATTTTTATTTTTATCACTTTAATATCTATTATGTAATATATCATTTATGTCTCTCCACTCTGCCACTATTAAAATAAAGATTCATAGGGAAATGAATATTTTTGCCTTTTGTGCCTTGCTCGAATTTATGCCAGAACAGAGTCTGGCATAAATATTATTTGGTTGCTGAATTTCTCTCTCTCTCTCTCTCTCTTTTTTTTTTTTTTTTTTTTGAGACAGAGTCTCCCTCTGTCTCTCCTCCCAGGCTGAAGTGCAGTGGCGTGATCTCAGCTGACTGCAACCTCCGCCGTCTGGGTTCAAGTGATTCTCCTGCCTCATCCTCCTGAATAGCTAGGATTACAGGCATGTGCCACCAGGCCCGGCTAACTTTTTTTGTATTTTTATTAGAGACAGGATTTCACCATGTTGGACAGGCTGGTCTCGATCTCCTGACCTCAAGTGATCCTCCCGCCTCAGCCTCCCAAAGTGCTGAGATTACAGGTGTGAGCCACCGCACCCAGCTGGTCACTGAATGTCTAATGATAGCTACGTGTTGAGTCCTTATTGTAATGTGTGCTAAGCATTATACTTTGTACTTTCTATGCATCATCTTTTTAAGTCTCGGTAACAATCCAGTAAGATAAGACATTCTTAAGTTTTATAGATGAGGATATGTAGTTTTACCAGGGGTAAATACAATTTTTCAGGGTTGTAGAGAGTAGACTAAACCCAGGCCTTCTGACTTCAGAGTGCAAGCTCTTAACCATTTCTAATATAATTGACTCTCTTCCCAATAATGATTGGAGATCAGATGACCGTTGCTTTAATCCTGATTTTTATACATAATTTCATGCTCGTGAGAAAATTGCCTGAGCTCTATCTGTATCGTTTGTTAAAGTTAGTGGTAGGCCTTGGAGAACCTTCCCAATTATAAAATAAACAAAACAAACATTGGGTAGTTGATGAGAATGACAGAAAAAAACCTAGGACTCAAACGTTTTTGGAAAGAGTGAGATCTGATATAGTGTTAATTTGTTGTGCCTTTACACTTACTCTATTCAGTTGAAGAAGAGGAAGAAGAAGAAAAAGTGGCAGAAGAAGAAGAAACATCTGTGAAGAAGAAGAAGAAAAAGGGTAAAAAGAAACACATTAAGGAAGAACCACTTTCTGAGGAAGAACCATGTACCAGCACAGCAATTGCTGTATGTTTGTTTTTAATTATCGATGGTCACTTGGAGGGGCCAGTTCTCCACATTTCAATCTATTTTCTATATCAGAAATGAGCAGGCATTTTAAAAAATGGTTTTCATTGATGGGGAGGTAAAAGTGAAATGGCTTTGTTGTATTTATATTATAAAAGGCCATTTCCCAAATCTAGAATTTATTACTAAAAATTGAGTTTGCATTGAGAGGAAGAGTATGATTTGCTGAAACTTACTTTTATAGGTGGGGTTTTTATATTTTCAATTTTAATCTTTTCCCTGAATTTGTTTTCAAGGGAAACAGATTGATTTTGCATTTTATGAAGAAAAGTGATTAGTCACCCATACAATTACAGCTCTTTCAAAGCATTCTTGTTGGCTATTTTCAGAGTCCAGAGAAAAAGAAGAAAAAGAAAAAAAAAAGAGATAACGAGGATTAACAGAAAGGAATTACAAGTGTATCACCTGGGCACATCATGCTTAAGATCCAACTGGGAGCATACCAGCGATGCTGTCTAACATAACCAAGGGAGGGTTCAGTAAAACAAAGTGATTTATCATCTATAACTTCAAACCTATTTGTGTCTTGACATTAACTCTGTTAACCTTATGTCATTTCTTAGAGTCTTTGATATACAAATAAAATTTTCTTTGTATTTTAAGACAATTTTGTGATCTCTTTACATCTTGAGTAGAGAATCTTTGGCTCTTTCTATAGTTTGCCATGTGATGATTATTGTTTTGATAATTATAACTGAAAAGTGAGAGTTTTTTTGAAATTTGACCTTTTGGAAGGCAGTGACTAAGTGGACCAATTCAATAACCCTACTCTAATGTGTTTCTTTTGCCTTTTTGGACTACTTTTTATTTTCCACCTATTGTCTTTCTACCTCTCTTTATTTAAATATTGTTTCTTGTTCAAATTTTAAAATTAGGTGAGCAAAACATTTTAGTATCTGTTCAGAAGGGTGGGAGACAGTATCCCTACCTTTATTGTTTGCAATTCTAAAAGGCACACCAAAATAATTCTTAATACCCTGATTTATTTTTAAAGTAGTCAACCTGAAGTGACTTTTTTAAAGGTTGTACAAAGTGATCATAAAGAATGGAGAATAGAGAAAAAAAAAATAAGAAAAAAAAAAGTGCCAGTGGGAATGAGGTACAAAAAAGTAGGACAGTAGAATGCCAAAGAGAAATCTTTATTTCTGAGTGGTAGTGTTTAATATGCAAACAGAAGCCTGGTAGACCTTATAGTCATGAGAGTCATGAGTTTTATAGCACTGTTACGTATTGCCAGTTTGTGTATGTCATAGGCATCTTGCTGAAGCCCAATTCAGTAAACGCTGTTGGTGGGTGGAAACTAGAATGACTATGGCTTTTGAGTTCCGCCTTTGCTTTTCAAGTCAACAGCCCCTCTTTGGTTTTCTCATTTCTAAATCACAGATAATGGTCAATTTTATCTCTCCCAACTGGTTTGTAGAAAATGAAATGATATAAACTTTCAGAGATGTTACTAGGCTTCAAATTTAATTTGCTTGAAATAAATGTTGATAAAATACATGCAGCCATCCCTAGACCAAATTACATAATAAAGCTGGTTATCTTGTTCCCAGGAGAGCATTGTCATTTTTGCATCACCCACTTGTACCGCAGATACATTCCTAGTTTAGGACAAAATGGACTTAGTTTATGACCGACTTTTGATGAAAATGGTCTAACCACCTACCCAGATGTACAGTCAAAAGGTTTACATGCAAAACAAGATAGGTTTTTGAGAAACCCAAATAATAAACTTCTAGTTATTTGAATAATCTTCTGCAGGCCCAGAGAAAGTATAGTTAAATCCTGCAGCAACCACCTCTCATAAGGACTGAAGGCTTAACTGTTTAAAACAGTTAACCTACCAAAAGGTAGGTTCTTATTCTACTTGGTACTATTGAAGCACTTCTGATGAAGAGCCTTGTGAACTTAGTTTGAAATCGGAAACTCGGGTGAGTTTTATATACCTAGTTTTGATTAGTAAATTTGAAGAATTTCTGTGGCTGCACTGCAAAACTCTGCTGAAAACCTACTGATTCTCCATTTCCCTTCAAAAATGGAAATTTCTGTTTTCCAGTTAGAGCTCCTGTATCTGTCCATTGCCTTCTGGCTCCTCAGCACAATTACATGGCCCTTGAGTGAGCCGTCCTCTCTCCTCCAACTTCAGTGCTGTCCCAGGGCTCTTTTAGAAAAAGATTTGTTTGCTGCCCTTGATGGGTTCTCTGATCCATCTGTTGCTTCTCTGTGACCATTTTCAGACTTGGCTCAGGCTCATCCTTTATCCCAGCTGTACCCCTTAGAATAACATGGAGTAGGGCCAAATGTCTCAAACCCTAACTAGTGTGCATAGGAATTATCTAGAGACCTTGCTTGATAAAATGTAAATCTGATGCTCTATTAGTGCCGCCACAGCAGAAAAAAAAAATGCAGGTCTGGGTTGGAGCCCAGGATGTCCTCATTTTTCACAAGCTCAGGTGGTGAGGGTCCATGTGCATGGTAGCAAAGTACTAGGATAAATTACTTAAACTCTCAGAACCTGTTTGCTTATCTGAAACTGGATTTCTCTGAGAATTACATGAGATAATGCTTGTGAAGAAGTTTATGTGGTAAAGTCAAGATTTAACCCCTAGCTACTTGGGAGGCTGAAGCAGGAGGATTGCTTGAGTCCAGGAGGTTGGGGCTGCAGGGAGCCGTGGTCACACCACAGCACTCCAGTCTGGGTGACAGAGCCAGACTCAGTCTTTTAAAAAAAATTTAGCCGGGCGCGGTGGCTCATGCCTGTAATCCCAGCACTTCGGGAGGCTGAGGTGGGCTGATCACGAGGTCAGGAGATCAAGACATCCTGGCTAACATGGTGAAACCCCGTCTCTACTAAAAATACAAAAAAAAATTAGCCGGGCAAGGTGGCGGGCACCCATAGTCCCAGCTACTCGGGAGGTTGAGGCAGGAGAATGGTGTGAATCCGGGAGGTGGAGCTTGCAGTGAGCCGAGATGGTGCCACCGCACTCCATCCTGGGTGACAGCGAAACTCGGTCTCAAAAAAAAAAAAAAATTTAAAGAAGTGCAGTTGATTCTTGAACAATAAAGGACTAGGGGGCCTGACCCCTGCACAGCTGAAAATTTTGCATATGACTTATGATTCCCCCAAAACTTAACTGCTAACAGCCTACTGTTGACCAGAAGCCTCACCAATAACAAAGCCAAAACACATTATGTGTGTTATGTATTATTTACTGTATTCTTATAGTAAGCTAGAGAAAAAAGTGTTATTAAGTGGAAGTGGGTGATCATAAAGATCTTCATACTTGTTTTCATGTTGAGTGGGTTAAGAAGAGGAGGTGTTAGTCATGCTATCTCGGGTGGCAGAGGCGGAAGAAAATCTGTTATGTGTCAAGGATCAACTGTAAATTAGAATGGTGGTTCCTAAAACACCTGGAGGTTGAAAGAGTAAGTGTCTGATTTAGTGGGTATAGGGTAGAGCCCAAGAATTTCCATTTGTTACAGATTCCAGTTGATAGTTGGGGGACAGTACCTGGACCACTGTACTGCAAGGACTCCCTTCTTTTACCTTGCCTAGCCCTATAGTTCTCCAAACTAAAACCTAATTTGTTGGTCAAGAAATCAGGCCTGCCCATTTTGTCCACATGAAAAGCACCAGAAAACCAGCGTCAAGCCTGTGTTGTGCCGTTGCACTGTAGGTAATTGAGCACCCTAGAGGGCTAGACAATCAGATCAATGCTCTTCCTACATAGATAACGCAAGCTTGAATGGGTACAAGAAATAATCACTAGCATTGTTTCCTGGCCATAGGAATTTGCTCTTGAAGGGACAAACTTAATTGCTGATACTGCAAGTGTTCTATGTATATTTAGTATTAAATAAAAGGGAAAAAACTTAGTCTTTTTGTTTCTTTTTTTGAAACGGAGTTTTGCTTTTGTTGCCCAGGCTGGAGTGCAGTGGCGCAATCTCGGCTCACTGCAACCTCTGCCTCCCGGGTTCAAGCAATTCTCCTGCCTCAGCCTCCCGAGTAGCTGGGATTACAGGCATGCACCACCAGGCCTGGCTAATTTTGTGTTTTTAGGGCAGATGGGGTTTCACCATGTTGGTCAGGCTGGTCTCAAACTCCTTATGTCAGGTGATCCACCCACCTCAGCCTCCCAAAGTGCTGGGATTACAGCTGTGAGCCACCGTGCCTGGCCCCATTGTGTTGTTTATTAAAGTTTGTGAGAACAATACCAGAATTAAAGCACCACAAAACATACAGCAAAAAGTGTACGTGCAATGCAAAATCATCTGAAAAATGTCAAGATAAATTCATGCCCTATTCCTGACATTGTGCATGTGGCTGAGCATTGCTTAGTCTTGCTCTAATTAGCTAAAATTCTAAGGAGTCTGATATGACTAGTTGAAAGAAAATTATCAATTTAGCATCAAATTTTTATTTATACTAGACTCACCATATCTTCATATCCAAGTGTCTTCTATTTAGTATTTTTGAGTACTTCCAAATTTTTTTTTGTAGGCTGTAGTGAATGCCTTTGAACATTTATCTATCTTCATGTATTTGCATTTCCATAGGATAATTTTTAGATGTAGAATTACTATATCAAAGGGGATATAAGTAAAATAATGTCAGTTTGCCTCCAAAAGAATGTCGTAATTTACACTCCAATAGCATTAAAAGAAAGCTCATATGTCAGGAACCGTCTCATAATCATCTTTTTATTAGCATCTATTCCAGTCCCCTGCTCACTAGCGATTTTTCATATAGTAGTAAACAATGTTTTAAAATATTAATTTGAACTTAGTGGCTTTAAACCTGGATAATTTTCCTCTCACAGTTCTGTGGTCCATGATGTACAAGAAGATTCCATTTATCAGTACAGCATTGAAATCATTATATACTCCCACCCAGCCTTGTGCTGCTAACCCAAAGGGTATTTGTGTAAATAGAGAAATATTTATTTTTTTTAAAATGGGGGTCTCACTACGTTGCCCTGATCTTGAAATCCTGGCCTCAAGTGATCCTCCTACCTCAGCCTCTGGAGTAGCTGGGACTACATGCACAAGCCACTGCACCCAGCTGTTGGAGCATTTTAGTAGCCTGAAAATAATTGGAATCTTGTCGTTGGAAAAAATAAATAGTTTGAGTCTAGCAGTGAGTTGTGCTTGCTACCCCTGTGGAGACAGATTGGAGTAGCAGCTCACTGGAGGTTTCTCACGAAGCCTGGGGACCCAAGGCTGGTACTTGCTAGTTTGATTTAAACCAAGCCCCCAAACCTGGCAAGCCACCAAGCAGTAGCTAGCTTTGGAAGTGGCTGCCTGGAAATTCCTGGCCTACAGTGTTGAGACAAAGGGCCCCTGGTACTCAGCTGGTCATGACATCCATTTGCATACCAACTCCTATGTCATAGCAGCAAATGCAGCCTTCACAGTTCGAAGGTAAACTGTTACTAGGATAGCTGTGAATGTATCCTGTATAAAAGGAGCCAAAGCTGAACAAACTCTCGTAAAAACTACAGCCCTTGATTACTCAAGGTGTCACAATACTTGAGAGCTAATGGCTGTAAATGAGACAACAAGGAGCATGACATCACATTCGTCAAAAATTTGATCTGTTGTCAGGGCAATAGAAGATTTTAGAGTTAAAAGGAATCCAGGAAATCGCCTATATACAATGAAGACTCAGACCCAGAGAGAGCTTCATACATGCACCCAGCGTGCTGGTGTATTCCAAAGACATTAGGCCTGTCTTTTCTCTTAGAAAACAATTTCTTTTTCTTTTGTTTTGTTGTTTTGTTTTGTTTTGAGAAGGAGTTTCACTCTTATTGCCCAGGCTGGAATGCAATGGTGCGATCTCGGCTCACCACAACCTCCGCCTTCCAGGATCAAGCGATTCTTCAGCCACAGCCTCCCTAGTAGCTGGGATTACAGGCATGTGCCACCACGCCCAGCCAAAAGCAATTTCTTTCATTGAAAGTTTACACATTTAATTCAGCTTTTAGGTTGGTCTTTTAGTTTTCGGTTTACAGAAAAAGCATCATAGAAAACAATCAGATCCAAAATGTGCAACGTTGAAGTCGAATAATTAAGAACGCAGGGGAGAGAGCCAGCCGAGGTGACCCACGCCTGTAATTCCAACACTTTGGGAGGCCGAGGCGGGCGGATCACTTGGGGTCGGAGTTCAAGACCAGCCTGGCCAGCATGGCAAAACCCCATCTCTACCAAAAATGCAAAAATTAGCCAGGCGTTGTGACACACGCCTGTAATCCCAGCTACTTGGGAGGCTGAGGCAGAAGAATTGCTTGAACCCGGGAAGCTAAGGTTGCAGTGAGCCGAGATCACACCACTGCACTCCAGCCTGGGCGACACAGTGAGACTCCATCTCAAAAAAAAAAAAAAAAAAAAATGGTGCGGGAGAAGGGCAGGCCTAGTGGCTCACGCCTGTAATCCCAGCACTACTTTGGGAGGCCAAGGTGGGCAGATCACTTGAGACCAGGAGCTCCAGACCAGCCTGGG